CTATATCCGAGGGTCACTATAACCGATGTTGTCAAAATTAAATAAAATTTCAGGCGCCTCTTTCTGTAGCGTCAGTACACGTACCTGGTTTCACAGACCCTTCTGGTCGTAAATCCCTTAATTCAATTTTCCCTTATAATTTCGATCAAGGAATTGTACCACAAAAAAGATGAATACTATTTTCAATAATGTGATATAATTTTAAACAACTGATTACAGTAATTGGGGTTTTTAAGGAAAAGGAAGGAAACTAAAAAAATGATGTAGGCTGAAATATTATTTTCATTGCATTTGATTAATTTAAATATATGACAACTATCTTTCACTGCATAATCTGCAAATTGTTAGGGTTTCAAACAAATAAACTATTTGCATATGAGGCAAACAATTTTTTTAAAGCATCGTAACGTACTAAACGAAAGTCGTTGCACGAGTGCATATTGTTGGTCTCTGAGACCCGTGCAATATTTTGGATTATCTCGCCGCTAGAAAGGATAAAAATGCTCCCAATTTCGGAATAAGTGTGACATATCTATTAAAGGAAAAGGTACCTGCAGGCAGTGGTTAGGGGCGGCCAAACTGCCATCACAATATTAGAGTAAAGACTAAAGTCTCTCAGACCACCTACGTGCATTGCCGGGTTAATGAAAAAATCGAGCAAAATACGCTCACAGCACTAAAAATTTCAATATCTTTATTTATCAATTAGTTTCACTTGCTTGCTTCGAACATTTTTCATTAGTAATTTCTCTAGATCCTTCTCCTGATTCCGTGCTCTCTCCATACTTGATTCTGCATTGTCCTCTGTCTCTAAGTATCGTAATGCCGTCTTGACACCCTTCAATTTATTTTGCATTATTGGAACTCCGTCCCTTTCTCCGTAGGTCCTTTTACTAGCCTTATAACATACGAGATTATTTCTGCAGCGGGATGGCGTAAGCGGCTAATAAAACTGATCGTTTTTCTTCGTGGCACGGCGTGTATCGCCAGGCTGTGAGTCTGTGGCGATAGCGCGCTTCCTGTCGCCTACGTACAACAGAACGCGCGTCAACATGTCCCGCGCGTACATGCGCATGAACGCGCGTACAACATGTCCCGCGTGACACCAGGATTGAAACCGAAGTAAGCAATCGCGCATCGCCGCTGCCAGTTGCAGCCCGCGCAGGACACGGCCTTTGTTTCCGCAGTGAAACTGAATGGCATAAGGTCATCAGTAAGGTCCCCATTCCAGGTCCGGTACCATCACCTTTAGGGATACTTCTTCGATTATGACCTTTGACCGACGATATTTTTTTAAACTGCCTGGTGTTGGAATTTGTAGCACCGAAGCGATATACTTTTTTAGGAAGCAATTAATTTCCAGGACATTCTATTTCCTACGTTCACTATAGCCGAGGTTTAGATTCACTATAACCGAATCTTCTTATGCTTTTAAGTGAAATGGGACCAGAGACTTCAGTTCACTTTAACCGAGGATTCACTATATCCGAAGTCACTATAACCGGAGTCGACTGAATTATTATTATTATTATTATTATTATTATTATTATTATTATTATTATTATTATTATTATTATAAATTAACATTATTATTGTAAATATAATATATAATAAAAAATTATTATAAATATTGTATGCTGCTTCAGTTTATGTGCTGTTTCAGTTTATATGCATTGTAATTGCCAACTACTATTGTTTAATTTCAGTTTAGTCGATCTGCTGTGGGTGGTAGTCGATATATCGGAGATGCTTGCCCATATGATCATCCAGATGAACTTCGTTTTGAATCACGTTTCGAGTCAGGAAATCTTGCCAAAGTTGTTAAAATTACAGACACATATTATGAGTTATACTTGAGAACAGACTTGTACACAAATAGGCACATGCAATGGTTTTATTTTAGAGTGGAAAATACCCGCAGTCATTTGCAATACAGGTGATTTTTAAAATTGTTATTATTTATTAATAGTGTAATTTTTTACTGTTTACCCTAATATCTGAAATGTTAAATTATTTCTTCATTACCAAATATGAAAATTAGATTTATAAGTATTGAGATTACATATCATTATGTGTGTCTAACTTCGGTACTCTACAAAAAGTAAGATTGTAATGTACATTTAATAGTAAAATTCCTTTTTTGTGTAATTTTTAGGTTCTCTATAGTAAATTTGTCAAAGGCTGAGAGTCTCTATAATGTAGGAATGAAGCCATTATTGTACTCGACAAAAGATGCATTGCTAAATCAAATAGGTTGGCGAAGATGTGGTGATAATATTACTTACTATAAAAATGAATCCCAGTGAGTTAATATTTAAATACAATTTAATTCGTTGTTTTAAATAATAATTCCTCGTTAATGGGCATATTAATACACATTTTGTAAAAATGTCAAAATTGAATTATTAAATAATTGTTTTAGAAACGGAGAAGAAGACCAGATTCCCAGTTACACTCTCTCTTTCAATTTGGAATTTCCTCATGACAATGATATGGTTTATTTGGCTCATTGCTATCCATATACATATACTGATCTACAGGATTATCTCATTAGGTTACAGGTAAGGTTTAATAATGTGGTTTTGTGTATTTAATATGTTAATGATTTGATGAAGTAGTAGTTTTTATAGCACTATAGGAATGAAATACATACATTAATAACTTTCTTTTCCATGAGCGATACAATAGAAAATTTTGGAATACATAAAAAACAAAAACAAAATGTGTATACAGGTCTCCGAAGAGGATTGTCAATATTTTGGGAGGTCACAGTATTGTTCAGTATACGCAAAAAGGTTTATATTACAATGCAAATGCGCCAACTCTATGGGGACCAGGCCACTTCGCCTCCCTCCAATAAAATTTGGGAGTCCTGCACTTTTCCCACAAGCCCAAACTGCAAATTTTGACGGCAAATTAGGTCGCTTAGGATGATACACACAATTTTCGGGAGTTATTGTGACAAAAAACCTCAGATTGTACGTTAAATTTCATGAAGAATGGCAGAACCAGTTTACATAAAATATCCGTCCGTTTGTCCGCCTTACTGACTATTTTTGTGAACGACGCTGGCAGTAAACCAGTAAGACAGTATTTTCATCGCTATTGTCATTCCACTTCGTCGGGGGATCTGTCTGATGGCTTAACATAAGCTCCAACAATATTTTCAAAATGTTCTCAAAAGTGACCCCAATTTTTGTTTGAATAAAGTTTGCTTAAAAATGGCTCAGATCCGAATTTCGTTGCATTACCTGATTTTTAAAAATTGCAAATGTTAAAAAATGTTCGGCGTTTCCTACAACTACAATATTGAAAATATAGATTTTTTCTAAATGAATTCTGTCCGGGGAGGAATATTAACGAGAAAATTGGGATTCAATGTCTTATCCAGGCGCGCAATTCGGACATCTGTGACACCAGACATTGTGGTGTCTGCATCGGCACTTAGCGTTGCTCGGTTTCACGTTTAAGACGAAATTGTCGATTAATTGTCAGTGAGGAAATCATACCACGATCTAGAAAAGTTTGTCATCCACTTGAGGACTTTAACAGTATCTAGTGCTTTACGTGTAGGGGAAACCCAGGCTGGTTGGTACCAGTCAGTAGTTTTTAATTTTTTCAATCAGTTCCGGTTTTGTTTTCAAAATTTTGAGTATGTCAACGGAAATCTTATGGTATTCTTGGCTTGGCTAAATTTGGAGTCATTTTTAAGAAAATTGTTTTAAAATTGCCCATATTTCACCCAAAATTACCCGAAAACTGCTCATATTTTCGAAAAATTGTACAGGACTTTATTTTGAGAACTGACATTGAATAATAATTCCGTTCAGGAAAAATATTTATCTTCTAGATTGTAGTTTTAGGAAGGTGCCAAAAATACTTTAACTTTTGCAATTTTCAAAAATAATTTCTGCGATAATCTATTGAGTGTTCTTTACGCTATCGAAAGACAAAGTTTAATCCACACATTTGGAGCCATTTTTTAGAAAATTTTGCTTCTAGAAAACTTTTAGAAAAACTGCTAAGGCTGTTAGTTCCGTAAGTGCAGCGCATATTTTCCTCGGGAGGTGCGCATGTTCTCCTTGGTGGTCCTCCCCCGCTGGATTGCGAGATCCAGCGCGGACCTATCGTCGGCTCACGGGGTTTTCCCTGACAAGGTATCTCCCACATGCAGGGCAACGCTCCAGCCGTAACAAGCTCTAAGCTCCCGACCATCTCCCGGCATGTAGTAAGAGTTGAGCATACGACAAGGAAGAGGAAGGAAATATCGCGCGCGGTCCGTTGCCCGTTTGTTAGAGTACTGCTTCGGCATCCGCCTGATGTTGATCGGAGAAAGTACAGAAAACTACCGAACAGAGTACCCGGCCGCTAGAATTCTCCTCCAGAAAGCGACTTAACTCCACCTGTCTGACAAGCTAGTGTCGAAATTCGTCGAAAAACATCCTGCCACTACCAGGATTCGAACCTAGGATCTCCAGGTCAGATACACTGCAGTGACACCAGGGGATGACCTGAGCCACCTCTCTCGGTTCTTTTGTCGTATTGTGCTGGGTTCTGAAGCTTGATTTTATGTAAAATATCAGGCCGTTATGATTATTGTTATTACATTGTAGGCGTGTGGCAGGGACTCTATTATGAGTGGTGGTGGCTCTTAGTGTCAGTTTATCACAACCGGTGAAACTTCAACGAGGCGAGGAGCCTATCGTACATCCGCGTCGCGAGCAACAGTGCACGTAATTTACCGTTAGGAATGATAAACGAAATGTTCTTGGACATTGGGCGGCATTTTTGACATTTGGAGGTGAATTTTCTCGCGGAGGTCGCAAATGAATATGTTGATGCCGCAGCTGCTGTAAAAAATTACAGATGACGTTTTTCTATGCATAGAATTCTGGATCATAAAGACTTTTCTATGGTGTTAAGTGAAGGTAAGGTAAGTGAAGTTAAAGTAAGGTTTCGTGAATGTGGTTCGATATCTTCTTTTTTGACGTATTACGCCTCGTTTTTCGACGAGCACATCAACATGTGGGGCAACAGGAAAACATTCTTCTAACAATAGAACGTTGCCTTACAAATAACACTCGAAGACTTTCTGCAAGTTTCAGAGTTTCACTAATGTAGTAAGTGTGGCGAACGAACACGAATGTCTGGCGAATGAAGACGCCGAATAACCGTATCACACTTAGCGTGTGCAAAATCTGCACCCAGGAGATTATACCATGCGCCTAGAATTTTGTCACTGGTTACGTATTAATTTCTAATTGTTCCCATTTCATCTGATCGGTGATGAAGCTACTTTTCCACGGTGATGTAAACATGTACTCAGATAAGCAACGCCCCATGACCGCACACAAGTTAAAAAGTGCACTGATATTGGCGGCGGAATTTTAGAAATTATTTTGTATGTATATGTAAACTGTATCACTTATGACAATTGAAAAAATAATATCAATATTAGACAGATAATTCAGTCTCGAAGGCTCTTCAGAATAAGACTCGCCGTATTAAACTGCCTCTATCTTGGGAAACCTTCGGAATATGATACATGTTCATGTAATAGAATATGATGCAACTAGATTGGTTGATTAATGATCCCAGCGCGTTAACTGGTAGTGTAAGTTTTATCACGGGCTGTGTTCTTCCCCGTTGGTGAGATCCGTCACCGACCTACACGTCTGTCTACGGGGGTTCTCCTATTACGCATCTCTCACTAGGTACCCCCCAGCCTGGACAAGCTCTAAGCTCCCAACTGGCCCCCACATGTGTTGTAGGTAGTGTGTTAGTATAAGTGTGTAAACATAAGCTGTGTGGATAGGACAAGGAAGAGAAATGAAAGATCCCGGCCGGTCCTTGGCCCGTTTGTGAGGGTACTGCTCCAGCATTTGCCCGACATTGATCAAAGAAATCACAGAAAACAGATCAGAGCAGCCGGCCGCTAGAATTTTCCTCCAGACAACGGCTGAACTTGTCATAGCTATCTAGGTAGTTAATTTTAAACATTATCGCGTAAGTACGTTTTGAAAACGATCGGCGTTAGGGACGAATTTTATAATTTTTTACGAATGCAATAAAGCAATATTATAAAGGAATTTCCCCACTCGCCGTTTTTCTATAACAGCATTATATTTACAAAATAATCAAGTTATTTATGGAAACAAATTTCACAAGTAAAGTTTTGTAGTTGGCAACATGAACGTCGGTATTTTGATGCCACGAATTGGGCGAAAAACGGTCGTTAGGTGTGGAGTGTACCGACACCCCCAAGAATTGCTCGTTGCAATTCGCTCCGTGTGTGATGATTAAGGACAGGATATTTACGGGCTAAATTGTTTGAAATATTAACAAATTTATGCTAGTAAAACCTCCAAAAAAGTGAGAATGAGAGGACGTTATAAGGTAAAAATAACACAATTGTCTTCCTAATATCGTGGTAATTACAGAGTTTATTTTAACTGATCTTGTTTTTAAAACCTATCTGCTTTAACGCGGGTATTACAGTCTTCTATAAAAGCGTTCTTCAGATTTTTCATAGCAAATATTTCTCTATTCTCTAAAAAAAATCTGTATTTTCAATATTGTAGTTGTAGGAAAACGCCGAACATTTTTTAACATTTGTAATTTTCAAAAATCACGTAATGCAACGAAATTCGGATATGAGACATTATTATAAGCAAACTTTATTCGAAAAAAAATTGGGGTCACTTTGAGAACATTTGGAAAATATTGAGGGGGCTTCATGTAAAGCCTTCAGACAGATCCTCCGACGAAGTGGAATGACAATAGTGATGAAAATACTGCCTTAGGAAGAATGGTTTACCGCCAGCGTTGTTCACACAAATAGTCAGAAAGACGGACAAACGGACGGACGGATATTTTGTCGTAAACCAATTTTTCGCCTACAAAATGTGGATTCTGACTTCACAACGTATAAGAGGTTATTTACAACACAGGAAAAATATTTTTTTTTCCGTATTAGGGACCTACAATAAACTTTTTCGGATGACGAATTGCCGTTTTCGCTTACAATACTTACAATACTTTCTCTTTTTTACGTACGTAGTAACGAGGAACTAAAAGCCTTGCAAGACTAACGCGATTTGCTGCGTTACACTTGCAACTTTTTAACACGTACATCAGAAAAAAGTATTTTCTTTCACATTCTTCGAAGACACTCAGTGCACCAATGACATATACGATCTTTTTCACTGGAGTCTGGTGTTCATCAACGCACACTCCTATTTTCGATTAACAGACAGTACGAATATATTTATGATTTCTTCGTAGCACTTTAGAATATAATTCTTGCGCAGTGTTGATTCATCCGAAGGGATTAATGTTTGTGTATTTGACAAACAAAATTAATGAAGGAGTGCTTTCCTCAAAAAGTGGTATGTCAGCACAACACAAATCTACACAATATCTGGAGAATTGTGAAGTGCGTTTGAGCTTGTGGGTTTTGACACAGAAAAAAGATTTGTTTACCTTTCGCACGTGTTGCAGTGTGTTTATTGCTACCCAAATGTTGAGTATCTTGAGGACGGTCTTCAACCCTAAAGGCCCGCATAGTTGACAGAATAAACCGTTTCCATCAATAATAAAAACGTCTCCAAATTCCGCTTCGTACTTCTGTTCTCAGATTTCAACTTTACATTCAGCATTAAGGAAAGGGAGGAGAACGCAAACGTATCTCTGCTGCTGAAGAAATGTATCGCGCTCTGAAAAAATAATACTTACAACAGAAGCTTAAACGAGTGACCAACAGAAAGCATTACTTTCGCAATACAGAGTAATCTGACTTCCATTCGTCTTTTAACTACACTCCAGCAGGGCCAAATGAGTTCGTGTCCAGCAATAGAAATTCTGAGAAAGTGCAGGATTGATTGATTAGTGATTCCGGGCGCTTCAACAGCTCAGGTCATTATTATCGTAAGTGCAGTGCATGTTGGAGGTGCATGAGGGGGTAATGGCGATCTTTCTCCGCTGGCTGGCAAGATCCGGCGCCGACCTATGTCGGCATGCGAAGTTTTTTCCAAACAGGTCTCTCTCACCAGCGGGGCACCGCCCAAGTTGGAACAATCTCTATGTTCCTGACTTGTCTCCCAACAAATGTGGCATTCACTTGGTATTGATCGGAGAAACCATGGAGAACTACCAATCAGAATAGCCGGTCGCTAGATGTATTCTCCAGACACCGGCTGAGCTCGACCCAGCTATGTAGCTAGTGTCGAAAATAGTACCACCGTGGGGTCTGAAACCCTAGGACCAGGAGGTCCTAGGGTTTAAGACCCGATGGTGGCAGTATTTTCAGATGGTGGCAGCAGTTAGAGGCACTGCAGCTATATCAGTTGTTGCTCGGAGCCAACTTAGCCGGTGGGAATATGCAGAAGTTCGAAGTGCCATATACCATGATGTCTGGAAAAGTCTCGACTGCAATTCTGAGTACAGGAATATGGTCCACACTAAAGCTATGAGATACGTATTGGCCAGCGGCGTCCATCTCACTAAAGATCTTGAAAACGCGAGCATGTCCCACATTGCATCTCTGCGAGTGATACATCGTGTTTCGTTTCTATATTGGGCTCCAGCACGTGAACAGGATAAACATCGCAGCCTGTTATTTGGAATATATTCTTACAGATGAATGCTGTGATAAATAACTATAAAAGGAATCGCGAGAATCCATATTTTTCGAAAATGTACAGATTTTAAGGAAAACCCAAAAATATGTATTTTAATGCCAAACTTGCGAAAATATGTATTTTAAGTGAAATAAGTTTTCTATGATTTTGGATTTAGTATGCCGCAAAACACCTTTTCCATAAGTAAGTCTAGAATACACGATTTAAAAGATGTGTTTATCTAAAAATTCTTTCCATTGTGTTGACACAATTATACGTGTCATAAATGGCTAATACGTCATAATGTATGCCTTAAAATGTCATATTTTGCAATGAAAAGAACTGTTTTTAATGCTGATATACAAAAAAACTTTTTTGTTCACAATGACCGATACTGTGACCTCCCAAAACACTGACGTTTACACCTGGAACATCTGTAAAAAGTGTAAGTAAGGAAAATCATATTTTTTGGTATTTTGTACGTTTAATTTTCATTCATAATTGCTTAGAATCATCCAGTGAAGTCAACTTACGCTAAACTCCGTTTGCTCTGTCGTTCGTTGGCTGGGAACAATGTTTATTACCTCACAATTACAGCTCCCGCAAGTAGTGAAGAACCAAAGGTATATTTCTTCATATTACCACAAAATAAGAGATAATATTACATAGTGGTAATATTTTTAATGTTAAATGATCATACATTTCAGAAGAAAAGGGCTATTGTTATCACTGCACGTGTTCATCCTGGAGAGACACCATCATCTTGGATGATGAAAGGGTTCATGGATTTCTTGACGGGAGACAGTGAACAAGCCAAGGTAAATTTGTTGTATTGTTGTAGTTTTAATTGTTTTATAATTGACATATTTAACACAAAATGTTATGATATGGATGCCGTATTCAAAAAATTCTGGCTGAGTAAAAATGCATGGGAATAAGCACGTGTGTACATGAGTGTGAAAAAGTTTGTGGGCACAGAAGCTCCGTCTGAAGACACAAATAGATCTGCAATCCCCCTAAATGATGAAAGATAGCTAGAGGAATTATTAAAAAAATACCGTTGCTATTTTTACAAATTGCACCACAAATCTCATGTCCTTTGCTTACCAAAGAACACAGTAATAAACTGTTTTGACGTCCAAGTTAAGTAAAATGTGGCGTTTCAGGGGCAGATCTAGATATCCAAAAGGGGAAAAGGGCACAGTCTTGTCATGGTTCACTCTTATAATTTTAGATAGTGTATTCACAAGGACATCATTAAATGGTTAAGCAGTAAATTTTTACACTGCAAATTTCTGCTTTTCTTAACCAGAGAATTTTGCTAAAGCGTAAACATTATAACGTCACATAAACTCATGAATTATGTGATATGAACTCATGTGTACTTTTCTTTGTTGCACATAAGCTTTCTAAATTGACATTTACTTAGTGTACTTTAACTCTTAGTTTATCAATGCTTTTTTGTACTGATATTATAAACAGTGCTATAAAAATGGATGTATCAGCTACATTGCTGCTGCCAATAAATTAATACAAATAAAATAATGTTGATTTTTTCACCGAGGTTTTGAGGAGGATTCAAGTCCCTCATGAGTACTCCTGAATTCAACATTGACCCCCATTCAAATTTCTAAGAGCAATAATATATTAAAGATTACAATAAAACAATTTAAATCTCCATGTACTCAGAAAATTTGGGAGGTTTCTCAATCTTGACATTATGCTGCATACATCATTAAAATGATTTCAAACTATTCCATTATATTCATTGTAGTACATATTCTTAAGTGATAAATAACTTTACTTCAAGATTTTCTATAATACCAGGTCCTGTTGCAGCTTATCATAATGCAGGTTGTGACCAAAGAGGACTGTGTCGTTTACAAATCCTTGAATAGTAATTCTATCACTTAATATTTTTTTTAAATAAAAGAAAATAGATTATTGGAATTCAAACTAAAGCATTGATGGTACTTAATACTGTCCTAAAAGAGGACTACGCTATTTAGGGCTTGTTTGCCTCATTCTTAAAAGTGCATTTTCTTGGACAAGAACCGCTTTGATTGCCAATAAGATGAGTGATTAATGAACTATGACAATTTCTTACTATTCATAAGTGCTTCATAAATTATTGTCATTCATGGGCGTCACCGCCAGGGGGCAGAGTGCACGCGTACCTCCCAATATGTTTGGTATGTGGGTTTGGAGGGGACTCCCTGTCACACTACACAATCTCTATTGAAAAGTACCCTAAATAATTTGGTGCTGGTAACAACAATTTTGTCCCACTAACTATGAACCACCCCCATATCTTCTAATTGGATCACAATAACGAAATGCATTTTTCTACCAACAATGTTAAATCAAAGTGCAAGTAATATTCTGTAGAGATATTGGTAAAAACATTTTTAATTTTGAAGAAGTTCGATCATTTTTTTTATTTTCTAAATGGAACTACATAGTTTTTCCTTTGCAAAGGATAGATAATAAAAAGAAGAACAAAGTGGTACTTAATTTGTCAATGATTTAAAAGTAATTTTGTGTATAGAATGTTTCTGACACGTGATTTGGCATTTTTCGCTGTAATTTGTAGGGCATATCTCTTGGATAGGTCCTGCTAGCAGACCTTGAACGTTCTCCTTCAGGGCAGTGGCATTTGAGGTGTCGAGGCAGATTTGAGGCCAGAAGGAATGAGGGCCATGGATTCTTTTCTGTTAATTTACTCTCAACGTAGTAAATAAATGTAACAAAACTATAAAACAGAAAAAAATCAAAACTCTACAAAAATAAAAAAACTTTGTTCTGGACGTAAATTTACAAAAATTCAACGGGATTACACATCTGAGATCGTGATTGCAAAGACCCTCGAATTGATCGCAGCGTTTCGTGCTTCATGTGCCATAAGCTATTACAATCCGTCTTTTCATGTCTTCTCGACTTTTGAGCACACTTTCTTATACGAGGGTTTTTAACTTTTTCCATAAAAAATCTTAATTGCGTGAGATCTCGAGAATATGCAGGTCACCTTTTCACCACATCACCCTCCATTGTTTATATTCTTGTTCAGAATATGCCTTCACACAGAGGCAAAATTGCCACTGCGTGAAAATACATCCACGGAGAAGAGTACACTACAAATTTTATTTTCTGTCCTATATTTTTTTTACATTGATACAAAAACGTTGTAGATTAACAGTTAAGATTATTACAAAATTGATATCAATCTACGATCGGATGAAATATGAAGAGATATTATAGTGGAAAATTATCAAACATATAACCACATCCCCTTCCTCTGTAGTTGAAATGTTTTAATGCTGGATTGTTTTTAAAACCATTACAAATCAAACTGGTTTCTCGTTGAGATTGAAAATTAAATAAATTTTATTTTGACTGTCACCAGGTTTTAATAACGTTCTTTTTATGATTGATACTTTGGAATTACATTCAATGGAATGAAAATTCAGTTCAGTTGAATCATTGGAAGAAAAACTTTTTAAAACAATGGTGATAAAACAGCACGTACATTCTCACCATTAGTAATAGTTATTTAATACTATTTACACCACAATTTCTTTCCAAATTTACACATCTCAGTCATTTTTTGTAAAACTCATTACAAATTGTAGAACATTTGGTGCGAAAAATAAATATTTTTCAAGCAAATATCAATACAAATGTGACAATTATAACTGCTTTTCATACGGCTAAATCATGTCCCAATAATGAGACGTAATTCACAGAAATTCAGCTGCCGTCTCGCGGCGCGGGAAGCCACTGTTGCATTCTAATCTGATATTTCCTGAAGAATAGTAAGTTCCCTTTCATATAACATTTAAATCGTATTTTTAAAAAAGAAAACCTAATTGGGCTAATTTTAGTGCGGATTGCTTGAAAGATAATACATCAACACTGAAAATGCAAATACATTCCTCGCAACACGGACAAAAAATATGGATTATGAAATAGGTTTTAAATAATTTCTAAAAGATTAATTTGTAAACGTGCAGCAAAAGCTTCAATGTAAGAAACGAACAGAGAAATATGAAATAATATACAGATTCTATCTTACCTAGCATTCAACTACCTGGAATCACTTCTATATAAGAAGTTCACGAAGTGCAGGCGATTCGACTATGTTTGACGCCAAATTACACAAAAAATACGCATATTTTCGAAAATGTGCACGTGACCGTATTTAAAGATGTTTTCGATTAAAACATTTCATTAAGAAACTAGTGGTGCTAAAACAGCATATACTTTCTCGCCCGTACTTTCACGCAAAAGTACGCGAAAAGTACTCAAATTTTAGAAAAGTTGTACATTACCTTATTTCAAAATCTATCTTTACGGAACAGATTTTATTAAGGGAAAAGTCTCTATCTTCATAAATGTAGTTGTTGGAAGACGCAGAAAAATTTTGAATTTTTGCAATTTTCGAAAAATTAGTTTTGAACGAAAATGAAACCTCTATTCTCTTAAACGTCCTTCATACTATCGAACAACATTTAATAAAAAACGATGGTGCCTTTTTTTAAGGTTCCAGGTACTTCAAATAAAGTAACCCCCAAAATTAAAAATGAAATGAAATTCAATGAGCCCCGACATCTGCCTGATGTCTTGGGGATTACCAATTTTGGAGAAAATTGGCAGAACTGTTTAGCCGGTTTTGGTATCGAGGACTCACAAAACATAGAATGTGGCTACAGTATGTGTTAAAAGTATATTTTTTCTAAATTTAGTAACTAGATTTATCCACTTTTTCGTTACCAGGGTCCTGCAATGAGAGTTTTTCTGACGAAAATTCGCCGTTTTTCGCGCATTACATAACTTCCTTTCTACTGCGTAAGCGATAGCGAGAAAGTAAATAAATTGCGAACAATTAGACTAATACAAACGGAAGAACAGTACTCTTTGCGGACGATACGAATATTCTTTGCAATAAAGAAATCGTAAATAGAACAATATCAGATATTTCAAATTGGTTTCGTAATAACAAATTAGTAGTAAAAGAAAACTGTTTCAATGCAGTTCTCCATTTCAAATAAACAGCTCGGCACTTCACTGAAAATGAACGGCGTACCATTGACTGATGTTAAGGTAACAAAATTTTTAGGTCTTTCAATTCAGTCAAACCTTAAATGGAACGTCCATTTAAATGTATTGAACACTAAATTAAGTTATTTATGCTACGCTTTCAGAATTCTTTCAAATTCAGTCAGCCGCCACACTGCTCGTTGTGTATATTTCGCGAATTTTCATACCCGCCTGAGATATGGTATAATATTCTGGGGAAATACATCTTATGGCTCCCAGACTTTTAGATTACATATCATTTGAATTGTATAATTGTAAAGAACCTGGAACAAGTATTCTTCTTCAGCTTCTGGGTCAATGGCCCCCATTTCGATCAGGTTTTCGTCCAGTTTCCCTGATCCTCGAGCAAATACTGAGATGGTCCCTTGTTTTATTTCTGGGCATAAATGTAACTTCAAATTTCTCCCCATAGCACGTCACACACATTTTTTTATGTTTGTACACAATTTGTCTTTGATGTAAATAAATAACACAATATCTCTACGGCATATTTCTTGCACCTTAATTTAGTAATGATGGGCGAAAACTGCATTTTTTACCGCGAAATGGTTAGAAATTATGGGGATGATGCATAATTCGTGGGACACTCGATATAATAATAAGTTTTATAAGAAAGTCGCGGGTCTTCTCAGACATCTCGTCATTCTGTTTCAATCAAATAATTCTGTACTTTGAGGCAAAACAAAGGTAAGGACATTTTTCCGGCTACGTCATAGTCGTCTTGATTCTTTGTTCTACATATTCTGTCGGTAATATCTGCCATCTGTGGGACCTTTTGAGATCCACCTCAAGATGCAGGTATCATTGCATTATGTACAAGATAACGGTAGGCACCATTCTCTCAGTGAAAATGGCATGTGCTAGGAAGGAATGGGTGTTGGTTGGCGGAATTGTGAGTTAAAATGATTCAGCTATCTCCAGAAGATTACGAAAATGTTACAAATGTTTCTTTCCAATCATATACTTTTTTCATTTAAAGGCCCTGTGTTGAGAAGTGATTTGAAGAAAATAACGATCCAATGTAATTTTACATGCATGTATGCTGCACAGAAATAGTCTTCTCTTCATTCAATATAGGCTTCAAACTTCCTTCCTTGGGCATGTGAAACATGTAAGCTACAACAAGAACTCATATTGAATGCAATAATGATGGAAAACAGCAAACAAACCTGCAGAAATAACAGGATGTTCTTGTAACGAGAGCGTGAAATGTAGAAAAGTCATTACAAGAAGGAAGCTTTCGAAACTGTTAAGGCAATTGCCAAGAGACAAACTGCTGTGTATGTCAACCGTATGCGCCGCATCGCGGGAGTCGCAATTGTAAAATTCATTTCTAGGTACTGAAATTCAAATTGCAAATTGCTTCTTACTGAAACACCTCTCTGAAAGATTATACGAAGGTAACCAAGGTAGGGGACGAAAGGGTGGGGGATTCCAAGTTGTGATGAAGCATAGTAGCGTGTAGTGGGCGATCGAATAGCCTGGCGTTTTAATAAAAATATGGTTAATGTTATCTTGATATTTTATTTATTTATTTGTTTGTTTTTGTTTGTTTAGTTTCTTTCGTCCGTTATTTAGTTAGTTATAGTGGGTGACGTAAAATGAAAGTATTGTAACGTCGTGCCAATGGGCCAGATGGACCACACATGTCGGAAGGCCAGCGAGGGGGCGGGGGCAGTCCCATGGCGGCAAGGGGAAGGCCACCAGTGGCGGGCCTTCCTCAAGGGCTGGGGTGGGCGTGTCTCGGAACGCGGGTGGGCGTGTCAACTGGCGCAGAGGGAGATGATGGGTGAGTCCAGCCGCGGGGCAGCTGTGCTCGAAATTGCAAACAGGTCCACGATTCGGAATGAGAGGACGCCGCCGAAATGGGAGGCCTGTCACGTGACCCCTCGCGAGGCGGCTGGAGTGTAACCAGCCATGGTCATTCGTTTTTGAATCGCGGTGCGGAAGGCACATTTCATCCGCCAGGGGTTATCGTGAGCTTCGGCAGCGAGGTGTGCCGGTTGCCACAGGACGAGAGACCAGGAGCGGCGCCAAGCCGCCGGGGTCAGCGTCAGACTGGGGCGGGTATGCCTCAGGGATGTGCAGTACTGAGAGTGCAGCGCTAGTTTCCGAAGAGTGTAGATAGTGTGTAAAAACTTGTCAATAAATCTGTACAGAACAACTCCGTGTCTGTGTGTTACTAACACCCGACGACGCCACAGTATTCAAACTTCAAAATATCTTTCATTTTCGTGAAACACTAATCAGATGTGCGTTGTAGTGGTAAGTTGTTCGGTTATTACCGAGAAATATAACAGTTTAATAGCCACGAATAGGTGATATCATATCTGTAAAGTACATCAACACACTAACAAGTTTGGAAATTTGCGCTCTAAAACCATGCATTTGGTTATGAGAGTCATGGGAGACAGTTTTCGATGTAATCAAAATCTTTGAATGTGGTCTAATTGCTATGATTATTGCGGTCATTGTCGTACGTAGATGCATAAGAAATAATTCTCCGTTTTATGTCATAGGCTACAGATTTCCAATCTTGATTCTCTGTAATAATGAAAATAAACTTAAACAATATTCTGACGTAAACTGTATGAGGAAGAACTAGCAATATTCAATTGCATTCTCTTGCGCGCAATATGGTAAAACCACAAACAACATAATTAAATATTCAGTCCACGAGATATTTAATTCAAAACTTTCATCTTCAGATATCTCCAAAACATTTTTCAGTATGAATCTCACAATTATCAGAGGTCGATATAAGGTCCTTATTCGGGGCCACTGGCTTCGGGAGCCCTGGTGCGGTGCACCGGTTGCACCAGCGAAGCTAAACCCAGCCCACTAATAGTCTGCGAAACATTTTGAAGCGTGCGCGAAACATCGCGAAGCTTGTGTGACACATCTTTCGTCACGGCGTGTTAAAAAATTGTAGTACACGTAACACGCGCCTCGAGGCGATTGGCACTTGTTACGTAACTTGTTATTTTATGAATAATTTGGGATTGTGACATTCGCGCTTACATACGCAACACTATCAGTTATTGTATCTTGAATAAAGTCGTATGAACTCACATTTTTGGTCAATAATTAAAATCAAGTTTTCGAATTGGCGAGATACTACATTTGTCATTGTGTTAGAAAACTAGAATCAAGAAGAAAATCAAGACCATAAGAAATCGGAAGATTCTATATTATTTTTACAAATTTAAGAAACAATGAGATGATTCAAGAATTGGTGTTTTAAAATATCTCTTAACTGCTAACTTCCCTAATTAAGGTACATTACTCTCACGCCACTATCGAATGTTCAGACCCAAAGTTCACGATCAAAATGTTCAGTGTATGAAAACTGGAATGTTAAAATGTTGTAAAGTTTAGACACTATATTTCTTTCAATACTTCGTTAGACAAACTCAACAGCATGCAGTGTACAGTGATTTTCCAGGTTTAGAATACATTCTATGACTCTTTGTGCTGTTGTAAACTCTGATTATATATATTCACTAGAAAAGATTTAAGACACACAATAATACAGGATATAATTTTACCAACCCTTTTTGCCTCCACCGGGAAAATTAGGCCCTTTCCAAAAGAAAATCGTGGCTACGGACCTAATGAGCACTGCGTGCATTCCCAAAAAGAAGGAAAAGCAAAGCAATGTAATAAATTCTGACAGGACTCCATTCTGAAATAGCATTGCGTCTGACAAAAAATAATGCATGTTCATGGCAAAAGGATATTTTTGCTCTACGTGGCATCTCAGTATCCACGTTGCATCAGTTAGATGCATGTCTGCGCAAAATTTAAAAAGAATAAACTTATTTTATATGAAATGTTCACATGAAATTAACCGAAAACGGGCCATAACTTATATTTGCGTTTTATTAGAGCATGCATAATAGGCTTTGTAGTTGCAGCTCTTTTGACGATTTGATGGTAAAACAGTGCGTGTGACGAACCGGTAGCTGGGATGAGCGGGACAGTGCGGAGCTATAAACAGTGCAAAGTTGTCCAATATTCCGATGACTCTTACTTCAGGTGTAACCCACATTTACCTTTTTTGTAATATAGTGTACGGCAGATTAGAGTAGCTGAAGGCCAAATGAAGTTGGAACATTATGAAGGCATTGCAGAAGTATGTTTAATGGCCTGTGCACACTTGTGGAAACGTAACCTTTCGTGAAGTTCGAGAGTTTGATGGACAACCCTGCCTGTCCATTGCGTTACCAAACAATGTTCTTCAAAACTAAAGAGCTTATTTAAATATTTTTATCGATAATTGAGATGTAAATAGTCTAATGAAATTTGTGTTTCTTCTCCACGAAAACTGAGTGATAATACTTTTTACTTTCTCACCTACTATGCACTTACGTGGCAAAGAGAAAATATTGGAAAGCTGTAGCGAAGAGTGGCGATTTTTTGACGAAATATCTAACAGATATTACGGATCCCTGATATCGCAGAAGTGGGTATTTCTTGCGCCAATATGTATAAACTTACTTGTAATACCATCGAATAATTGGTTCACGTCTGCTTGTCCGTCTGTGATTAACCCCCCCTCTCTCTCTCTCTCTCTCCCTCTCCCTCTCTCTCCCTCT